GAGTGAGGATCGCCCCCAACTCCCTAGACATTAGTTTCCTTAATAAAAGCACCTGACCAACAGAAAATCAAATCAAAAATTCTAATTGTTTAGACAACAAATAAGTTAATAAAATTTGTATGGATCTCATCACACATCGACATCGAGGGTAATGAATGAATGATGATAGTTTGTACCGACATAAAAAAATATATTGCTTTCAAACAAACAACAATCTGTTGAGTTCAACAATTACAAAGAAAGCTAAATCATTGTAAAATTTAATACGTGCTTGCAAACCAGAATACTTGCCATTCATATTACTATCATTGTCGTAATGCACGCCATACACACTACGGTCTACCGGAGAGGTCTACCTGTGCACTTGTGCAGGTATGCCTGTACGGGACAACGAAACAGCGGTAACGTGTATGGGGACTCTCCGGTGTACCGGTGCGGTCTTCAGTTCCTTTACCGATGACGCCTTGGCATTGTTAGGCCTTGTTTTAATTTTAAAGACAACAGGTAAAAAAACAGTGAAAAATAAGCGAAAAAAGTGGTGTAAGTATTGGTTGTTGAAAAGGAAAACATACAGTCGTGTTAACTTATTGAAGGAATTCAAATTTGAACCAGAAGATTTTAAAAACTATCTCCGGATGGACGAGAAAACATACATTAAATTAATTGAAATGGTTACTCCTATGATAAAAAAGAAAGATACAGTTATGAGAAATAGTATTTCTGCACATAATAGATTATTAGTTACGTTGAGATTTCTCGCAACTGGAAGAAGTTATAAGGATTTAAAATTCTCAGCAATTATTTCATCTCGATTATTGTAATCTTTGTTTTTGATTTCCCAAAGACATGGATGAATTCTATAAATTTCGATAAATTCTTCAAGCGTTTTTTTAGTTGAATTTGGTGGCACCATTTTCTGGGGTTAATTAAAGAGTGGTGTGACAATACGATGCGAACGACAAGACGACTTTCCCAGAGAAACACTAGAAAATAACTGACGCGACCTGCGCAGGCAGCCGGAGTACACGCACAGACGCACAGGTACATCGTACGGTGTCACTCGAAAAAATTCATTTTTGATTTTGCTCCGGTCACCTGTTCAAAAAACTGCACAGGTCTATTCCCACACACGTTTTGGTCTACCTGCGCAGGCATGCCTGCACAGGTAGACCTCTCCGGTAAACCGTAGTGTGTATGGCGTGCATAAGACTGGTTTCTAGAGTTCTTAATATCTGATTTCAAAGACAGTAACATCCCAATAACTGTTTTATCAAATTCTTGTGAGCTATGCCCAGTGTTTTTATAAAATCGCACTAATCTTTCCACGGGATTCCCTTTGTTGTTACAATATCTCAAAATTACTGTAAGTTGGTCATGGTCTGGTACGTCAGGTATTAAATCTACACTTCTTCTTCTTCTTCTTTTTATATAGACATGACTCTGTATGTTTTTCAATGTGCCTTCAGTAAGTTGTCATTCCATCGTTTTTGTGGTCTTCCTACTGATCGTCTTCCTATTGGAGAACCATCTCTTGCCATCTTTACTACTCTATTTGTTGTCATCCGGCTTATATGATTGTTTTATTCAACTCTTCTATTTCTTACCCAGTTTTTGATGTTCTTTTCCTTGCATCTACGTCGTATATCTGTACTTCTAGCTGTGTCCCATAGTGCCTTACTATCAATTTTTCTCAGTGTTTTCATCTCTGCTGTTTCTAACTTTATTTTTATTCTCTCTGTATTAGGTCTTGTTTCTGTCGCATATGCCGTTATTGGTCTGATGACTGTTTTGTAAATTTTGCCTTTCGTTTCTTTCCCGATATTTATATTTCTCCATATTGTTTCAGTTAGGCAGCCTATGGCTCTGTTTGCTTTATTCACTTGTTCGTCCACTTCGGTTTCGAACTTTCCGTAGCTAGATAATGTGATGCCTAGATATATAGACTTCATTACTTGTTCTATTATCTGACCTTCCAGAACTCCAATTTACATCTTAGTAAACTTGCTATTGTAACCATAAATTTTGTCTTTTTTGGGGAAATTAACATGTTAAACTTTCTGGCAGTTATACTAAATTGATGCAGCATACGTTGTAAACCATTTTCACTTTGAGAGAGTAGCATTGCATCGTCTGCATAGCAGATTATTTTAAGTTGTTTTTCTCCTATTTGGTATCCTTTTTAGTTTTTACTTGTTTTTATTAGTTTATCCATAATCAGGTTGAATAATAGAGGACTTTCCCTATCTTACCCCATTGTCAGCTTCAATAGAGTCGGTTAGTTCTTCTTCTACTTTTACTTTTATTGTGTAATTTTGGCAGATATTTTCGATTGTTTTGATTATTCCCAGAGGTACCTCTTTGGCATACAGTAAGTAGATAACGTCTTTTAATTTGACACGATCAAATGCTTTTGTAAGGTCCACGAAACATAGACATGCCGGTTTGTTGTATTCTAATGATTTGTGTTGCACTTGTCTCATTATAAATATAGCGTCAGTGCATGATCTTTCCGACCTAAAACCTTGTTGTTCTTTTGCTAGTATCATAATTTCATTCATTTTATTTGTTATCACTTTGGTTGCTAATTTTTGTGTTGTGTTTAACAAATTAATTCCTCTGTAATTTTCCGGGTCCGATTTGTCTCCCTTTTTGAAGAAAGGTATTAGGATGCTTGATCTCCATTCTTGAGGAATTCTGTTCAATTATATTTTGGATTAGTTTTAATAGGTGTTTGGTCAGATCTGGTTCTCCGTACTTTAGAAGTTCGTTTGGTACTCTATCATCTCCTAATGATTTTCTATTTTTTAATTTCTTTAATGCTTCCTTCACCTCTTCCTCCTCAATATTTATTTTTTTGTTTGTCGTCACCTCTGGTGTTGGAGGTTCATCATCATCACCGTTAACAAATAAGGATCAAAAGTAATCTACTCATGTTTCGTTCTGAATGTGTTTTGTTTTTATTAGTCCCTTCATTTCTTTTCTTTATCCTCTGATCATTCTCCATATTTCTTTTTGTGTTCCGTAGAAGTCGTGTTCCATCTGTCTTAAGAAACTCTGCCAGTGTTACTTTTTTATTTGTCTAACTTGAATCTACACTTATAAATAGTATTTGTTTGCCTTTATTAGGCTAACAATTTCATCAATGACTCGATTGGACAAAATATTCAGTAATTCGTTACATATATCTTTTGATATATATATATATATATATATATATATATATATATATATATATATATATATATATATATATAACGTTGTCCCTTTACCCAAATTTGCTCGTTTATGATTATGATCTTTAAAAAATGGATCCTATTCTGACAATGGTTCCAGTAAACTTAACTAGTTTCTATTCCGTGTTTCGTCAATTCATTTATGAGTAATGAGTAATGAGTAAACGATGCTATATAAACGATTTGCTAACGATATTGTCCTTTTTGCTACCAGAATTGATGATGCAGTATCGCAACTGGAGAACCTATACCTAGCCTCCCTACAAGTTGGATTAAAAATCAACCACACAAAAACACAAATCATGACAAATCTTGTGTTAAGCGAAAAGATTTCAGTAAGTGGCATGCATATTGAAGAAACCAGCTCTTATAAGTACTTAGGACATGAGATACGCATAGGAAGAGATAATCAAACGTGCGAACTAAGCCGCCGCATAGGACTCACTTGGGTGGCATTCGGCAAGCTGAGCTATGTTCTTAAATCAGAACTGCCTATGTGTCTTAAAAGAAAAGTCTTTGATCAGTGCGTGTTGCCAGTACTTACATATGGTGCAGAGACATTAACACTAACCAAGAAAGTAAGAAATAAAATTTGTGTTACCCAAAGAGCCATGGAACGATCGATGTTAGGCATTTCTCGTAGGGATCGGATCACGAACAAGGAAATAAGACGGAGAACAGGAGTGACAGATGCCATAGAAATATTTATGACCCGTAAGTGAAACTGGACGGGGCATATAGCTAGAATGTCGGAGAACAGATGGACACAGCGAATAATACAGTGAAGACCGAGACAAGAAGCACATCGAAGTAGAGGTCGTCCACCAACAAGATGGTCTGATGACATCTGGTCTGATGACGGATCGACAAAAATTGGATGCAAACAGCACAAAACAGAAATACATGGAAAAGACTGAGGGAGACCTATATTCAGCAGTGGATAGATCCGGGTTAAATGATGATGATGATGATTCCATAATGAAAATCCTGTTTTATGTTGGTTGTTTTTTTATTCAACTAAGACACAATAAAGACAAAATATATTGCCAGTGCTCTTGGAGTAAATTGCCCAAGTTTTTTACAAAATATTTGCTTACTGGCATACATTTGGCATTTTGTTCGCCGAAATTTCTTTTTGACATTGAAAAATCTATCACTGTAAGATTCTGATCGACCCATTTTTCTAGAATAATTTCTGCATAATTATGTCAATCTTGCCAAAGTGCTGGATATTTAAAGTTAGGAAAATCCTGTTTTGGATCTGAAAAAAATAAAAAAAATTATTTGGCATTGTCCTGTTTTAGTTACCATTTGTGAAGGCACCGTTATCTTTTTGCATTTTAGACACATTACAAAAAATTTAAATATGCCTTACCCGAGTTACTGGGGGTTGCTTCATCATCTTCTAATACTTTTGAAACAGGCGATACTAAGTGCTCTGGCACTGATTCTGAGTTCTCCAAAATAGGTTCAAAGTTAATGATAATACAAATTTTTATTATTATTATATCATGTGGATTTGTATGCAAATTTTACTTCAACATTAACATATAATTTCGGAACAGCACGCGCTTCGAGCGCTGGATAAACCGGCGCTGTGGATATGGTATGAGTAAGTGTGAGGATTGGCACTGTTTCGTTTTGGTCTGAAGCCTGCTAGTATTGGAAATAAAATAGCAAAATGAGTCTGCCGTTTGTCAAAATATCAATGATAAAGATGCAAATAACTATATATTTTCAACATTTTCTATTTCAGCTATCTTCACCATGGAAATAAAAGATCTGGCAGATTTATATGGTGATGAACTTAAACTGACAAAACTTATTAGAAAAAGCTCGGCACGTGCTCTGGAAATTGCTAAGAGACAGGAATTGGATTCTTCCGATGGACAAGTCATCGATGACCATGATCAATTTTACAGAGATCACAAGTTAATTCTTCTATTATTTAGAGTAAGAATTTTGTATGTGTATATAGTTTATTGACATTTAAGTAAACTATGTTAAGTAGTGTTTAAACCAAAAGTCTTACAGTTCTAAAACTCGTTACATATTGAAATATTAATGCAATAATAAAGATTTTTTCCGGGTCTATCTATAAACCATTCAATTACACCTGCACTTTCTCGAGTGCGCATAAATTTTCGTAATGGTGATTGTCGATATAGTGTTCTGTAAACTAATTTTTTGTTTTAATAGACGGATTTTAAAATTGTAGATACTGGGTGTGATGCCCATCGAACGTGGAGAAATTGGCAAAATAACTTTCAGCTGGAAAAGCATTCCGACCATCTACGCTTACGTCTTCTATGTTATCACGACAGTTATCGTCGTCTTTGTTGGATATGAAAGAGTCGACATACTACTAAACAAAAGCAGGAAATTCGATGAATATATCTATTCCATTATCTTCATTATTTTCTTGGTACCGCACTTTTGGATACCATTTGTTGGATGGGGAGTAGCGAGGGAAGTGTGTGATTATAAAAATGCATGGGGGACTTTCCAGCTGCATTATTATAAAGTCACTGGTAAGCTATGTGAAACACATAATGGCAGTTATATGATATTATAAACATATATAGTTCTTATAAAATAAGATATACTAAACTAATTATAGTGATAAATCTTTATTTTAGGTCACAATTTGCAATTTCCTTATCTTAGTACACTCATCGTCATTATCAGTTTGGGATGCCTGGTATTAGCAGTGGCTTTTCTTTTAACACTGAGCGCATTATTAGATGGTTATACATTATATCATACAAGCGCTTACTACCATATTATAATAATGCTAAATATGAATTCTGCTCTATGGTATATTAACTTGAGGGGCATTGGAAATGCGAGCCAGGCTTTGGCAGATAGCTTCCAGAAGGTAATTTATTATCATTTAAATGTTAGGGAAACAAGTCTTCTACTCACAATTCGTAGTAGGTTTTATTCAAGTTGGAAAAAGATAATGGGCTACCGGTTTCGCTATTTACAAACTTTTACAGCATCTTCAGGCCCTCCAGAAAACAAACAATACTGAAAACGTCAGAGACGAAAATACCATTGAACCTATAAAAATCATACCCCCAGAATTCCCCCTAAAACTCCCTCGTGGATAGGGGGGTAAAATCGCAAAAAAATCTATTTACCAAAGAATCTGTACACCGTAGAAAAAAATGTTTCACATAAAAAATGTAGCTGAGGTAGCCCGAAATCAACGTTCAATAAAATTTGTATTAGCTGGATGGTAAAAATTCGATATCTTTTGATTCAAGTGACCTATCGACAAAAATTAAGATGCATAGTAAAGGCAAAGAATACCTTAATAGTTGAACAATTAAGGTCTGTTAACTTCAAAAAACTTGGTTAACTTTAGAAATAGAAGAAGAGCTGTCACACTTTAACTTACATTATCTTGTCAAATTTACCTCTTAAAAAATACTAGTAGACAACAAAAAAGTCCAATTCCTCTCCTAGCAAGTAATGTAGTGCCTATAAATCCCTATTTTAAAGTTTTATGTTTGTTTTGTCCTGTTAATTGTGCCCTGTTTGTCCATAAGCGTGTTTTAATTTATTATTTTTTACCATTTGAATCCACAATTCTCTTCCTAGCAGAAATTAAATGCTTTTCAATCAAAAGTTTATAATTACAAGTCAAAGAAATTGCACATCCCCAAAACAGCACAAGTACTTTCATTCATCGTCATATAACTGTCCTCTTTCTTTATAAAAAAATTTCAATAATTTAACACACATTTCAAAATATATCTCTTCAATAAATATAAATAACTATAATTATTTAAATCATATAAAACATCACATTTTCTTTCAACAAACAATAGCATATACCCTACTCCTACATCATCTGTTAACACCCATCCCCTCAAGAAACTTCGTCCTAAGTTGTTAGACAGTTACAACTTTGACCGAAGATCACTTATTATTAGTAATAAAGGAAAGTTTGAACTATGAATCACCAATCACTATACAGTAATTCTTGTACCGGAATGTAAATAGTATTTTGTTTTTTTCTAATGTATCACAATTCAACAGACTTTTTATCTTAACAAGTTTTGGGTTGTTACTCTGTCTGCAAATGCAATTTATGCATAATTATTAATACAGACATGTAATATTGGCATAATTACTAAAACTTTTTTGATCTATAACTTTTTGATCTATATACTTATAAGACAGCACCATAATATGGGCTTTTTATAATTTCAGTATTTAATTTACTTTGTACCACCAACCTGATGATGCTTTGCAAATTTTAAAAAGCGAAACCGGTCGTCTGAGGTAGTAAAATTAAACTGATTGTGAGTAACTCTAATTATTTCTTTTTACCTTTTTAAAATGGACGTACATAGGCAACACATTCATGACTTAAAGGCAAAGAGTTTAGCTTTCGTATGCAGTTGTCACATTTTGCCGCAAATAAGCTCAGATCTTATACAGAGGCTAAAAAAATAAACGTGGCGCGATTTTTGCCATTATGATTCTCACGAGATCAATACAATCTATCCCTTTCATTGACTAGTTACTATGAAGTTTATTTTACTAGAGCCTAACTTTTAAATGCAGTAAAGTCCATAAAAAATAATAAAGCTGCTGGTCCAGATGAATTATCATGTGAATTGCTAAAACTGGTCAATGAAAAAGACATAGATCTTTTAGTCCAACTACTGAATACAATCTATTCCACAGGAATCATTCCATGTGAAATGCTGACATCAACATTTATTTGTCTACCAAAGAAAGTAAATGCCAAAGAATGTAGTGATTATCGAACGATCAGTCTATGTCACATACCTTAAAAACCCTCCTAAAAATCATCCATAATAGAATACACGCTAAGCTGGAGATGGATATTAGTGATTGCCAGTTTTGATTTCGGAATAGAGTGGGCACAAGATAGGCACTATTTTCTTTTAACGTGCTGACCCAAAGATATTTGGATGTTAATCGAGATCTTTATGTTTGCTTTATAGACTACAAACAAGGCATTCGATAAAGTAAAACATGACCGACTTATAGAAGTACTCAAAAACAAGAATCTAGATGTAAGGGATGTAACATTGATATCAAATTTATACTACAGCCTACGATCAAATGTAAAAATTAGAAGAGAAGTGTCAAAAGAAGTCGAGAAAAGGAAAGGGGTCAGCAAGGTTGCATACTGTCGCCGTTATTGTTTAATCATTGTTCTGAAGAAATCATACAAGAAGCTTTTGGTAAACAAGACAGTCGGCATAAAAGTGAACGGAAGTTTAATTAACAACATTAGGTATGCCGACGATACAGTCATAATACCCGATAACTTGGAGAACTTAGAAAGAATAATGAACAAAATATTAAGATATTGTGGAGAATACGGACTCTCCATCAACATCAAAAAACCTTATTCATGAAAATTAGCAAGAACAACAATACAAATGAAATATTAACGGTAGGTGGCCAGCAGATTGAGAGAGTAAAAATATATACTTACTTGGGAATGATAATTACAGAAAATAACGATTATACTGCAGAGATAAGAGTCAGAATTGAAAAAGCACGTGCCAACTTCGTGAAAATGAAAAGGAATTTATGCAGCAAAGATCTGGCATGCCCTATTCTGCCCTCAGAATAGGGCTAATTAAATGCTATGTACACAGCGTACTCTACTATGGAGCAGAATCATGGACATTGAACCGGAATACAATAAATCAACTTAACTGTTAAGGATTCAATGGGAAGATAAAGTAACGAACGCAGACGTGTTAAGGAAAATAGACAGAGAGAAGAAAATAGAAAATACAATAAAAAAAGGAGAAAATGTGACGGTCAACACCTTCAATTTCGAAAGAGTACAGCGTTTTAAGTATCTGGGGGCCGTCATCACAGCTGACAACGATGTCACTGAAGAAATAAAAGACAGAATCCAGTCTGCAAACCGCTGTCTATTTGCACTGGATAAGCTCATAAATCAAAAAATCTCACAAGAAGTTCAAAGATCAAAATCTATAAATCCATCGTCAGACCTGTAATAACATACGGATGCGAAATGTGGACCATGACCAAAGCCAACGATAAAAAGTTCAGACGCTTTGAACGAAAAATTTTCGGACCTCACCATGACATCACCACAAACCAATATAAGATCAGAAGCAATATCGAATTAAAATCACTTTACAACGACGCCGATATTGTCCGTAAGAAATTAAATCACAGCGACTAAGATGGGCAGGCCACGTGCACAGACTGCATAACGAAAGACTTGTGAAACTGGTATGGGAGGAGATTCCCACAGGCAAAAGACCACTCCAAGAGAGATAACATCCAAGCAGATCTCCGGAAAATGAACATTCCATTTGACCCTAGGTTGATGGAAGACCGAACAATTTGGAAAAAAGTTGTACAGTCAGCCTAGACCCAACCAGGGTTGTAGCGCTATTTGATGATGATGAAAGAAAGGAAATTGCAATATCTCAGACCTGTAATGGGAGGCGAAAGATTCAACATCTTGAGACTCATAATTCAAGGAAAAATAGAGGGTAGGAGCAGTGTAGGAAAAAAAAGCGTTTCCTGGTTGAAGAACCTGAGAACGTCATCGTCTATTTGAGAACCTACTCTGGCATTTAGATCTTTTAACAATATTATTTCTTGATGACTTTTTATTTTATCACAAATGTTTGATAACTCTTCATAAAAGAAATCTTTACTTGTTGATTTTATTCGTCTGTTGGCGCATAGACTCCAGCAACTATTGTTTCGATGCCGTACAATGTGACAGTCATTATCAGAATTCTTTCAGAGATGTACGCATAGTCTTTTATTTATATTTTTTAACGATTTTTTATAAGAATTGAGACCCCTAGCGTATACGTTTTTCTCTACTCCTGACCATATGTGAATGTAGTCTTTAATCTGTTTATTTCCTTGGCTTTCTTTTTAGAGAGAGAACTATGATGTCTATTTTTTGCTTCGTCAATTCAGTTAAAATTTACATTGTTTTGTGAGCCTTGAGTGTTCTAAGTACCAATTTTCAAAGTCCTTTTCTTTGCCAGGTGTCGTCGTCGTAAGTTTCCATCCATATTTCGAGGCTCGGCATTAGAATTTTTAGCCAAAAGAGTTTTTTCCAGATGGTGAGGGACTGGCCCATCATTCTAACCCCCAAGCTTAAGGGACCAGGATTTTCTGTTGGGGTTTCTTCCCTTAGACGACATGTTCCAGTTTTAAGGTGCCAGAGACTCGCCTTTCACCATCTCTCAGCTGCTTTATAACGCAAATACATATATGTCTTCGAGGACGTGAAAGTAGGATTTACTGGCAGAGCCGAGTTCTGTTTTCAGAACCCCCAACCCTTTCGTTGGGAAACGGTAGGACATTTCTCACAGTTTTATTGCAATATAAGAGTCAACATCTCATATTATCCCCGAGTTTTATTGCAATATAAGAGTCAACATCTCATATTACCCCCGAGGTCCATAACCAGCCTTTAACCACCAAACAGAATAAGAGAAGAGAAGTCTCCAATTCTAATACAGCAGAAACTTTTACATCTGTCCGCAGAAGTTTTTATGATAGATTGGGATACTGTTCAGGCGTAGAAGATCAAATATTTGAATTATTTTTGTAGGACATAAAGAAAAATTCCTTATTTTATTCGGAATTATTTTTTCTTTTCAATAACAGCATATTTTATTTGTCTTTTTATGAATGAAGAAATGCACTTTTATTTTTAATTCAACTACAAAAAAATTGTTCACATTATTAAAAACTGATACAAATGCACCGCCTTGTAATGGTTAGTGTATTTTTATCGAGTTTATGTTATAAGAAATGAACCGGGTATATATAAGCAAAACAAAAATCGAAGAAAGGAGATGCATATCCATTGCCAAATGGTTTTAGTTTTTTCATTTTCTGTCTAGGAATCTAAAGCTAAGGCGTATCAGGTAATCGGAAAATTTCAATTACCTCGTACGAGGCAATGTTGCCCTTTTTAGCGCTTTATGTAGTTTGCAATATCTAATCCAAAACTTAACGTACTATATATATAAACATATATATTTCATATTCGGTTTTACTTTTTAGGACATAGATAACTTTTGCACCGGATACATAATATCCCACTATAGAAAACTATGGCTAGAACTAAGCGAGCTCCTTCAAGCAATAGGAAATGCTTACGCAAGAACATATTCTACATATTCGCTATTTATGATCACTAACATAACAGTTGCGGTAAGTTATGTATGCTTCATCTATCATAAGGTACTTATCGATGTGTTTCAGACTTACGGTTTTATATCAGAAATCATGGAGCACGGGATAACGTTTTCTTTTAAAGAAATGGGTCTTCTTGTAGCCAGCGTGTACTGCATGGTACTTCTGTACATTTACTGTGATTGTTCACATAAAGCCTCAGATAATATAGCTCTAAGAGTTCAAAGATCGCTAATGGAAATTGATCTAACTACAATTAATCTAGACACAGGGAAAGAGGTAAGTTATTGTGTTCTTTTGCCTTGGTCTTGGATTATTTATAATCTCAATGAAATAGCTTATAATTTTTTTTTCTGGAGGGTACTATAGTTCATGAGCTTATTAAATATTTTCCATTTATTTATAATATACATGCCAGATTTGTGGAACGGGGTACCATCTGGTGAAGGTGTAGTGGATTATATATACCTAAAATGGACCATGTTTTTGAAACTATATTTCTTTTGAACCCTTAATTGGATTTTGATGATTTATTTTTCACATTATAGGTATATTTCTAATTCTTTTTTATTGTATCATCGCATCGCCAATTAGCCATATTTCTAATTAATTACTATAATAATGTTTTTTTGAGAAATGTCAACGTTTTATTTATATACGGGGTGTAAAAATATAGTTGTGTTTTTTCATCTAATTTTGCAACAACCTTTGGAATGTATTATAAACAAACGCTACATGTCATTAATATTTTAAGATTGCCTCTTTCTTTCTTCACATTTTCGTAAAAAAATCATCTCGATATCTTCATTATCAAAAAAGGAAATATGTTCAAAGCATTACGTGATTTTCTACTCTCCAAAATTAACGCACTACCTCAACTATACCATAAGTTTTGAGCTATTTTTCTTTTGAATCCTTAATTGGATTTCGATGATTTTTTTTCGCACTGCCTACCTATTTCTAAATAATTACTGTATTAATGTTTTTTGGGAAATTCTCTAATATACGGGGTGTAAAAATAAATTTGATTTTTCATCTTATTTTGCAATACGCTGTGGAATTTCTTAAAAGCAAACGTCTTATTAATATTTAAAAATTGCCTCATTATTTCTCCACATTTTGATAAAAAAGTTATCTCGATATCTACATTGTCAAAAAAGGAAAATATGTTCAAAGCATTACGTGATTTTTTACTCTCTTCTACCTCACTACCTCAACTATACCATAAATTTTGAGCTATTTTTCTCTTGAAACCTTAATTAGATTTCTTTGATTTTTTTTCGCATTGCAGACCTATTTCTGAGTATTTACTCTATTAATGTTTTCTGGGAAATGTCAACATTTCACCCATATACAGGGTGTAAAAATAAATTTGATTTTTCATCTTATCTTGAAATACCCTCTAGAATTTATTAACAGCAAACGTCTTATTAATATTTAAAAAAAACTTATTTTTTTTCAACATTTTCGTAAAAATATCATCGATTTCTATATTATCAGAAAGAAAAGTACTTTTAAAGCCTAACGTGATCGAATTGTAATACTCAGTAATGGAAGCAGTTAGTTGGCTATGAAAAATCAAACAATTTGAAAGGGCAGTTTTAAACTGATAATATTGTTTACATTTCAAAAAATTGTTTTGCTATTTTGCGTATGTTCTATAGTTGAAATGGACCGTATTTATAATCTGAGCCGAGATGAATGTGCTCAGGCAATTACTTTAGCTGATGTAGGTGGTTAAGTTATTGTGGAATAGGCTTGAGGTTCGGAGTACTACTCTCATACTACAATATCACGAGTCATTCAACGTTTTCGAGAAACAAACGACCATACGAGACGGCGTGGACAAGGAAGAGGAAGACTCACAACACCACAACAAGATCAGTTTATCAGGCTTCGTGCTATAAGAGAACGTTTTCTCACAATGAGACATTTAAAAATACAAGTGGCAAATGTTCATAATCTTCAAATTAGTAGAAACACTATACAAAGGCTTCTTGCTGATCAAGATCTGCATATAAGGATACCAGTCAGAGCACCAGCTTTAAATGGAAATCATCGTAGAAGTAGATTATAATTTGCTAAAGAGCACCTCGACTGAAATGTTAATGACTGGGAGCACGTGTTGTTCACTGATGAATCAAGGTATTGCTTATATAGCTCAGAGAGACGTGTGAGAGTTATTCCACGGCCAAGAGAAAGCTACGCACAGTGCAATATACGACCTATTACTTTATTCAATGGAGGATCTGTAATGATGTGGGGAGGAATATCTCTTACAGCGCGAACGGAACTTGTTGCTTAACGAAGAGGTTTCTTAACAAGTGAAAGGTATATTACAGTAATTTTGTCTAATCATGTAGTTCCGTTTGCTCCTTATATAGGAAATAATTTTCTTTTAATGCATGATAACGCTCGACCACATGTTGCACGTGTGGTTAGTGAACATTTGAACCAGGTTTGAATACAAACCATGAACTGACCACCCTGCAGCCCTGATCTCAATCCCATAGAAAATTTTGTGGGATATTATTGATCGTCAACTCAGGAGCCGACAACCACCACCTGTCTCTCTTGACGACATAGAAGTTATGGTGAGAAAAGTTTGGGATGTAATTGATCAAGACTAAATACGCCGCTTAATTTTAAGTTTGCCTCGTCGCTGTGAAGAAATAATTAGATGTAGAGGTAGAAATACTCTTTATTAAGTGTTTTGGGAGAGTGAATTGTTAAAGATTATTTAGGTTATGTTTTCTTAGGCTTTATTTGTATTAAATGTCAATAAAGTTTGTCTAACTAATGTTTTTTGCTCTAAATGTTAATTGTTACATTTAAAATCCTGTATAATATTTAATAATAGAGATATTGAGATAATTTTTTTACGAAAACATTAAGAAAGGAAAATTCTATCTTAAAATATTAATAAGATGTAGTGTTTCTTTCTAATAAATTCCACAGGGTGTTGCCAATAACGATGAAAAAACACAACTTTATTTTTACACCCCGTATACGGGTAAAACGTTAATATTTTTAAGAAAGCATTAATACAGTGATTTACTAGAAATAGACCTATAATATAAAAAAATAATCAAAATCCAATCATTCCTTCAGAAGACAAATAGCTTCAAACCTATGATACCTTTAAGGTGGTGCGTTATTTTGGACAGTAGTGTATGTATTAGAAAAAAAGTCGTAACACTTTTCCTATTTATTCCAAGTTGGATCTCTTTTATAGATAGGCACATTCAATGATAATATCTGCTCTACTTGTAGGAAGATATAAAGTCAGGAAGAAATTGTTTCATAAGTTTGAAACCAGTGCAATATTATAAAAAATAGCAAGATTGGAATCTTAATTTTGTTCTTAATCCGGTTTCAAATTTTTTTATAAGGTGAAGTGGGGTAAATGTGATCTACTTTTTGATTAGTTCAACTTTCATTTAATATAACACTTTAAGGAAACGTTTCAAAAATTTATCAAAAACATCATATACTCTTTGAACGGTTTTGTATTCATTGTGTAGAAAAAATTAAATAATCTTTAGTGTTGATAATGTTGCATAATGTTTTTTAAAATCATATTAATATATCACATTTACCCCAGAAACCGGGGCAAATCTGAAGAAAGTTAACATTTTTGTAATAAATATTATATTTGATAGTCTGGGGTTATTGTATAAAAATATGATTAAAGCTGTCTACTTGTGTTTTTTTAGAATTTATTTTGTTGAAAAAATACAAAATAATTTAAACTTTTCGAAAACAATGTCAGAACAAAGGAAACAAAAATATAATAAAATTAAACAAACACTCCAAGTTTTCTTTCAGTTAATGTTGAATGTGAAAGCCTTTAAAGGTAACTGAAAATTCATACATTCCACGTCTGTCGACGATAGGATCTGGTAGTACTTTTATAATATCCTGTTGTAGTACAGTATCAATGTCAGGATTTATTGGCCATACAAATTTGTTTTCTCGAGGTCGTGCAAATTTAACAATTTACAATTTCCACATAATGCTTGTTATTTCTTTTTGGGCAGTATTTTACCAATGCCCAACATCCGACATAACATTCGCACTTTTTGTCGAATTCAAATTCTCTTTGTCTTCCTCGTCATTATTTGCATCTATTTCTACCTCTGGCTCTAATTCCAAAAGTGTATCCAGAAACTCGTCGGTGTTATCAGAATCCATGAATATTGGGGATATTGACTCATCATCTTCGCTGCTGCTAAATGATAATTACTCCCGTTTATTTCTTTTTTTGGGCTTTGCCTTAGTTATCTTATGAATTTTAGTACCGTTTCCTTTTTGTTGATAATTCTGGTTTAAAACATCAACAGCTTGTTGCGATGTCAATACTTCAGATCCAGGGCATAACCGTTTCTTATTTTTGGTTGGTGCGTTTCAAAGTTGTTTTACTGTTGATAAAAATAAATCTTCAAATGTTACATTCTTATTTTCAGTTAAACTTATACATGGAATTGATTCAAGTTCGTCGACTCTGGCAGAGATATTTTTTACTTTGTTGGAAGTGGTATTTTCGAGTAGAGCATTAGGCGTAGGTTCTTTGTTTTGATAAAATACTTCTTGAGTTACTTTAGTTGATACCAATGCTTCATTACCATTTTCGCGTATAGATAATCTGGAATGTTTTATCATCTTCCACTTATTAAGCAAACAGGGTGAAAATTGTGTTTCAGGGATGAAGTGAAGATTAAAAGGAATAATTTCGCCTTTTTTAAAGCCGTTGATAATTACTTCGGAGTTCACCTGTTTCCAAGTTGTACCCAAAAATTGGGAAAATATTTGTTTTCGTAATTTTTGGCCTACTTGCTGCCGCTGCAAGGCATAAAATTTTTCATTCCATTTAACTTTAAAGGATTTAAAAACAGCCAGATCTAGTGGCTGTAAAAGGTGGTTGGAATGGGGTGGCAGTTTCAGAATTATAATATGTTCTCGCATAGCGGCTTCTAACGTCTCGATATTCATATGAGTGGAATGTCCATCATAAATAATCAATATTGGTCTTTGAGATGGAAGTCATGGAATTATAGTGTTTATGAAGTAATTTTTTAAAACGGCTTCTTCCTTCCAACCTTTTTTTGTCGTTGCATAAACAGTACCCTCAAAATTAGTACCTGGTGGAGCTATCCATTGATCCCATAAGTGCAAACCTTTATAAATTATTAATGGAGCTTTTTGGTCAGCTACATTACACATAAGAGCAATTGTGGTATTTTCTTTACAAGGAGAACTAATTGTTTTTGATGAAGTTA